AGAGAGATTGGAACGCATCACGGACATCGGAGAGAACTTCCGAGTTCACGGCGAGACGTATGAACCGAAGGGAACAGTCGAGACACTGGACGTGTTCGTAGCGGATCCGCCAAGCTATGCAGCATTGGATAGACAAGATTGGGAAGAGAACAAGTTAGGGGCGTGGAGGGATTTCGCACGCACTGAGGTGGGGTTCTATAATTGTCCGGGCATTCATGCAACCATGTTGAATCCGGTGCATGTACCGGAGTTTGTGAGGGGGTTTAAGTTGGCCATGAAGAGGAGGGGGGTTTGACCCGCCATCCTTCTTACTTGATAAGTAGTGATAGTATAGTTCTGACATTCAACACGTATCTTTTCCTTCCCCTTCCTCCTCCTCCTCCGATGAAGTATACCACCGCCGATACACCTCAAAAGCCCTAACTAAATTCCGTCCCTGATCCCCAATAAACTTCATCCCAGAAGCTTCGTCAATGGCAGCCTTGACTTCCCCCTCATCCACCCACTTAAAAGCACAATGCTCCTCCGGATTCAACATCACTTCCTCTACCGAAGCAGTTTCAACTAGAAACCCCCACTTAATCACCTTCTTCTCTCCCTGACCCAACCCGGGGAGCGGTTTTTTCCACTCGTCAACAGCCACTAAATCCACTACTTTGGTCACTTGCAGCCCTGTCTCCTCGAGTACCTCCCGACAGAGTGCCCGGAGGAGCGTGTCGTCGAGGGAAAGGTCTGCTCCGCCGCCTGGGGATTCCCAGTGGAGGGGGTAGCTGTCTGTGGGGGAGCGGTGGAGGAGGAGAAGGTGTGGTTTTGAGTTTTGTTGGTGGGTGGTGAAGATGTAGGCGCCCACGCCAAAGTCGGTGTAGGTGGGGTAGTGGGTGGTGGGGAGGGAGGAGAGAGGGTGGATGAGGAAGGGGTATTTGGATAGGAGGTGAGGGGATATTTTTATTTCTTGTATGGTGGTGGTGGTGGTGGTGGAATTCATGGTTGGGAGAGGATATTGGAGTTTATATGAGGGTTGGGAGATGATGAGAGAGTGAAGAAGTTGTTGTTGATGTTGATGTGGTGGTTGTGGGGCAGCAGCGGGTGGGGAAGATTAACTACAAATACACACCCTAAGTGGAGAGCACAGAATCACTACTAAACAAAGTACTAGATACCATGAAGAAGTTGTTCGTTGAGTACTACCAGTAGTTCCAAGTGATATTTCATGCCATGCTAGTGCTGTATGTTTTATATATCAGGGTATACTGGTGGTCTTTTCTGACTCTTGCTGAGAAGAACCCAGCGGCTGGTTACTATTAGCTAAATCTGCTTTAATGATCCGCAAGCTAAATCTTCTGTAGATGTAGGATATAATATTTCTGTTAGGAAGACCGATAGCCATGTCTATCCATAAGTCTCTTATTGGTTGGTAACAGCATCTTACAGTAGGCACTGTTGTAGATTAATTTGAACATTATATAAGATCTGCGGATCTCCAGAATGTACCTCTCTAGTAGATATTACAAATATGAACTCTAATTCGACAGCTAATGTCTTGTTTTCTGGGGGAGCACCTCTTTCGGTGCTGATCTTGTGAGATCGCAATCAATTAAACTCTCTGGACTGGCTGTTTCATCAGGTGCTATCCTGACCGGGGAGATCGCAATGGATTGAGTGCATGATGGAACATTGTGTCTCGGATCTACTTTTAAGATACATTGCTATTATTAAAGAAGCACGTTGATGTCAGAAACCACCACTAGTGCACTTTAGGAGTGAGTGTTCCAGTTACTGCAGACGAGCTAACAATCTACTATCGCATCATGTACACACCCACCCACGCTCTCACACTCTCAAAAACACATACTCTCTATCAATTGCTTCAGAAAGCTAAAGCATAGCTAAAGAAATATACACGCAATTGAGTATCGCGGCGATGCGCCCAGCCTGTACCTACGCGTTCCCGCCTTCCCCCTAACTGCATGCAAGGAGATCAGACAGGGGGGCATAACAGCCGATATTGCTTAATTCCCCCATGGAGGCGCCACAACACAAGGATTCTTCTCGGTAACTTTTTCCTCTTGTTAGCCTACTTCTATCCTCTCGTTTCCTTTTTGCAAGTATCCATTTTGTTATCCGTCAGCAAAATTGGCTTCCTGACCAATCAATCGAAATGGTTGGTAAGGTTTTGACCGCACCATGTCGATTTCCCAGCCTCTCTCTTTCTCCCTCTCCCCAGAAAGGTCGAGATGACGATGCGGTGCATACCATCAATATCACCCAAGGGGATACCAGCATCTCTCAATGGGGCTCTGATCTGGGACCTAGACTCCGTGTTATCTGGGCCATCATCCTCTCTGTATTTGTCCACGATGACAGCGTGGTGATGGGCTACGAAGAATGTGCCAATTCTCGGGACTCGTCATATCTCTTGCAGGATTGCTCGTCCGTCTACGCTACTACATTTGATCGTGAAGACGACCTGACCACTCTAGTTGGATCGGGGCATCTGTTGGAGACTGACAGCCATGACCCGCGGGTATATAACACTGGGGTACTACTGCTCGACGGAAGGAATGGGAGGAGTGACCTGACTGCCAAGAATGGTTCTTCGCCAACAGACACCGAGAGAGTGAGTATTCCAATCTCCGTACCAAATTAAAGACCATCATGCTCATAATACCTTCCACTCTAGTGCGATCTCATCCTTGGCGCAAACCGGGGCCCTGCAGGACTGCGTCTCTTCCTGCGCTTCCGCACCGCATACATTTCAGAAACAATGGCCGGTCATATCGCCGACGCTACCCAGGAGATCCTGTATTCAGTCCGCCACGGCTGGCAAGGCAAGGTCAAAGACCTGAATCTCCTCTCCCAGGCCAGTCGCGATCAAATTCTATCCTGGAACACCCAGTCGCTAGAGGTGAGCCAGCAATGCCTCCCGGACCTGATCGACCGTGCCAGTAGCAAGTACCCCGACGCCATTGCCTGCTGCACTATCAACGAGCAGATTACCTACCGCGAGCTTCAGCACTTCTCCACAGCATTGGCAGCCCATCTCCTCTCCGCCGGCGTGTGTCCCCACACCTACGTCGGGTTGATACTTGACAAGACCATCTGGTCAGTGGTCATCATTCTAGCCGTACTGCGCACAGGGGCAGCCTGCATGCCTCTGGACAGCGCATTACCTCCCGCCCAAGCTTCATCCATGCTCCGTGAGGCCAATACATCCGTCATCCTCACCACCACCTCGTCCTCCAAACTCGAACCCCACTGGGTAGCCATGGCGCCCCAAATGCTGGAAATAACCGGACACCTAATCCAGCAGCTACCAAAGAAGCCCCTCCCAGCGCCATCCGGACATATATCCCCCACTCAACCAGCCTTCCTCATGTACACATCAGGCAGCACCGGAGCCCCTAAGGGCGTGGTACAACCGCATCAAGACATCGTAACATGCGTACAACAGATGGCTCAAGCACTGCAACTACACTCCGGCACCCGATTCCTCCAATTCGCCGCCTTCAGCTTCGACCTCAGCTGCGTAGAAACCCTATGCACCTTATCCCGTGGCGGATGTGTCTGCATCCCAGGGAACGACGACCGACTACACCGACTCGCCGAGACAGGCACAGCACTCCGCATCAACACCGCATTTCTCACTGCCGCCGTGCTAGCCCAGGTCCACCCGGACGAGATGCCCACGCTAAAGACCCTCACAGTAGGCGGGGACGTCCTAACCGCAGAACAAGTAGCCCTCTGGGCACCCCGAGTCGACCACCTCAACGTCAGCTACGGCACCACCGAAGGCATCATGTTCGACACGCTGCACGCGGACCTCACTACCCTATCCGACCCCCGGAACATCGGTCGTTCGTTCGGCCCACGCACCTGGATCGTCGATCCAGCAGACCACAACAAACTACTCCCCATCGGGGCCGTCGGCGAACTAGTCGTCCAAGGTGGCCGCCTATCTCAAGGCTACCTCCAGAAACCAGAGAAAACCGCCGCCGTCTTCATCGACGCCGCTGTTTGGGCACCAGCACCGGCTCCAACAGCATCCCGATGCTACAAAACCGGAGATCTGGCGAGGTATCTGCCGGATGGCTCAATCTATCTCCTCGGCCGCAAAGACCGACAGGTCAAACTCCGCGGCCAGCGAGTAGAGCTAGACGATCTGGAAGCTCGGCTGAAGCAGGCTGTAGATCTACCGCGCGGTATGGTCGTAGCTGATGTGATCATCTTGCCTGATCAAACGAAACAGCTCGTGGGGTTTGTCTACGATGACCGGCTCACTAAACACTCTGCTGCTGCTGCTGCTGGGGCGCTTTTTGGACTCCCCACGGCAGTTTTCCAAGCCCTGATGCGCACTATGGTCCAGAAACTCAAACAATCTCTCTCATGGCTCTTCATCCCAACATTCATGTTCCCACTCCTGTACGTGCCGAAAACGCGTACGGGCAAGATCGACCGCACGCGACTTCGACAGGCTGCGGCTGGGCTGGCGCAGCAGGATCGTTTGGTATATGCGGTGCCGTTGGATGAGGGGGCAGTTGGTGAGGACGATGCACTCGTGAAGGGGGAATACAGTGAGCAGGTGGGTTTGGTGTGTAAGTGGTATGCGGAGAGTTTGGGCGTTGGTCTTGCTTTTGTTTTACCCAAGAGTAACTTCTTCCATTTGGGAGGGGATTCGATCAAGGCTATGCGGATAACGCGACTGGCGAAGGATGATGGTTATGATGTCACGTTTCGTGATATCTTTAATCATCCTCAGCCGGTGAGACTGGTTGCTAATGTGCTGGTGACTGGTTCAGGGACGGATGGTGAGATGATGACGATGGCGATAGCAACAGCAGTCCCTTAAGGATGTAGTGGTTGGGGATGGAAAAATTGACTCTGTTGGTTTATACCATAGATTGTTTGAGTAGAATTAGACAAGTACTAATATACAATTTTGCTGCTACTAGTAATAGCCTGGTATCTAGTAAGGATTGACGCGATTCGCACCTAGTAGTACTCTATACACGAGAGTACCGCACCATCTCCCTGGCCAACTCCAACACATTCCATCCCGACTTCTCCTCTGCTCTCACCTCCACCTCCATCACCTCCTTACACATCCCCGCTGTATGAGTGACAGCTCTCTGCCGCTGCTGCTGCACCTTCCACCCGCGCACCACCCATAGACACAACGCCGCTGCTACAAACACCATCCCTGCGAAGATCTGCACCTGTCGATACGCCTCCATTCCCTGTTCCGGTCGTCGCAGTGCTTGCGCAATGGCCTCTCCTGCTGCCCCGGGTCCTACCAGCACCAACCACAGGATACTGAGAGCCCCAGGTAGATCCTGCAACCCGATCACCTCCACAAACACGGGGGCCACTGTAGCGAAGAATGTTCCCGAGACCATGCCTCCCATTACTGCGAACAGACAGCACACGGCCATACTCCGAGCGGGAATCCAGATAGCGAAGCAGAACACCGCACATACCAGGGACAGAGCTGTCGCCACGTTCAACCGACCCAGTCTGTCACTGAATAAGCCGATAAGAGGCCGGCCGATCCCCTGTCCCAGGTTATGTAGCGCGCCGATGACGCTGCTCTGGCGCGCGGTCAATCCGATCGAGATGGCAAAGTTGGGTAGACTGAAGTTGATGGAGACGAAGCCAAAGGTGCTGAAGATGGCCCAGCCGATAAGAAGCAAAAACTCGGATTTCTTTAGCAGTGGAAAGTTAAATGCGACGTGACGACTGGCGGTGGCTTTGTTGCGGTCGCGGAGGAAGGCCGCGCACACGAGGTTCACGACCAAAGAGATGATGGCTAATGTTCGGAATGTCCAGGGGAGACCGAGATTCTCGATCATCGCTTCAATCCCAAGGGAGTAAATGAGACCACCGGTTCCGGCACCAGCGGCGGGAATGGCGTTTGCAACGCTGCTCTTCTTGTCGAACCACTGGGGTGGAACGCCAAGGTAGGTCATGTAGATGATGCCCATGCCGACGCCGAAGCAGACGCCCTCTGTAAGAAAGAGCTGCCATACGCGGGTGGTGAAAGAGGCGAGGATCAGTCCAGCTGTTTGGATGATGATTCCCGTGATAATTGTCGCGTGGGTGCCATATCGGCGGATGAGGAACACGGTGACGGGTGCCATCAGGTAGGCGCAGCCGATGGCGAGACCGCCGATGAAGGCGTAGGCGAGTGAACTCGTGCCGGGGTAGATGTTGTTGTCCATGTAGTAGGACAAAAAGACGCCATAACTCTGGTGCAGTTAGAAGATCTGTTGCCGTCTGGCTAGTAGCTCTACTGCAGTGAACTCACCCCATTGATACCCCAGGTGTGAACTTGTAGCCAGAACACGCACGCAACAATCACCCATCCATATCCGCCATCTGGGGCGGCATCGATGTCAATGCTCGCCTTGGGATTCGTGACCGAATCGTTGCTTTCATGGTCGCCATTGTCCGTAGAAATATAGTCCTCGGATGACTTGGTGTTTGTTGTTTCTTGGTTCGTCTGAGTTGACTCCATCGGACCTGGTGATAAGACAGGGGATAATCACCAAACACAAGAAAAACCAAGCACTTTCCAAGTCCCAACCGGAAAATTTATATAACACATCCAACGCAATGGGGGAGCACGATACACGCACGGCATTCTAGCTATCAATTCTCCCAAGGCCAAAGAGAGCACTACCAGCGGGGCACTGGAATGCGGCCGATCCCCAACAGGGAAGAGTGCCACGCTGGGCAAAAGCTTTCCCCAACTCCGATCAAATCTCGACCCGGAGAAATACATGATCTATCCATCGCCAATTGCAAGGGAGGTTAACAAAACGGGTTGCTTGCGCAATGTACCAAAGTGACCGGATTTTCCCAGGCCTATCTTGCCCTTGTTGGTGATGCGGTATGGGATGCGAAGAATGCTGCTGCAAATCCTCCATCTGGAGTAACGGCATCCCTTGCGTGACTTGCTCGTTCGGGGTGTTGATCGTCCGGTGGAAACCAGATGATTGAGGATGAAACGGTGATCAACTTATAACGAGGCACCAACGTGTTCTGTGGATGATCGCTGGAAGACGATCTTGTTGGGGAGCTTAGCAGGAGTTTCTGCTTATATCAAGGTACATCATCTTTTGGGTGCTTATTATGCAGCGTTGCCCAGCCTTTGTTGACTATGAAGTCATCACTGCAGCCTGGCGAGAAAAATGCGACGATCTCCACTAGTTGTTGAACCGGAAAAGCATCGACAGAAAGACCAATTGGACAAGTGGTAGTCTTAAGTCTGGCGATAAGACGCCACCCCTAGATGCTGGCTGGAATGGTACCGTGATGTCGGTGGCGGGGACAGGTTATAGATAGCTCACGCTGTGTACCCTGAAGCTAGAAAAGGACTTGTAAGGTCAGTCTGAAGTTGGAAACTGGTTTGTCTCGATCAAGTCGCATGATCACTGGCTAAATAGGGGTTGGATAAGCTGCATAAGCTTTTGGCACGGATAGTTGGATCATGGGTTTTGGTCAGCGAGATGTTTGTTGAAGGAAGGGTCGATCTGAGATGACGAAGAGAGCTTCCCCGGCTGTGGACCATGTGCCTTGGATTCGCTGGATACAATTTCCCTGATAATTGCGTACATTCTAGCGGCGCCGCCATCTGCCACTATTACTAACCTTGAATTACATCTTCGTATGCTCTAAAATCAGTCTCGTATACACGCAAATTCACCTGATATAAATAAGAAAGATGGGTGTGACAACGGACATATTCGAAAATATGCCACTACCATTTGGATATATATGAAAGAAAATGCTCATGCTTAGCTGTCTGTCCGTATAACTGTTTCCTCCAATTTCTACCACCATTTAGAGACTGGCAGCTCCCGTTAGCGTCTAGAGATAAAAATGAGGGATCATCCACCTCGATGTCTTCAATAGAGAGCGACGGAAATTGACGGTTCACATTTCAATAACAGATAGTGTAGGAATCTAACATAACCTTCCTAGACAAGACGACTCGATCTATATAAAGACTCTGTGCCACGATTCTAACTTGATTTGGACACATCTTCTCCACAACACGACACTATCAATAGCATTAGCTCTAACCAGTCCAAAAAGGACATCCTACACCAATGGATAATACGTGCGAGGGCTGTGTTGGTGGTCTAGAATCCTGGGGCTGTGGGTGTGAAACTCACCATATCTACAAAGAATACGAGAGTTGCACTGCTTCCCCAAAGCATAAATGCCATGAAGTAACAAAGGTATCCTGCAGTAATCCATATGGGCTTGGTTGCAATGAACATGATGGCAAGGATGGCTTGACCACTTCGTCGCATGAGATAGTTGAAGATCGAGAAATTGCCTGTCCACTCTGTGTTCATCCTCCCGGTATGAGCAAAATGATCTTGAGGCGTGTAGAAGATCCGAAGACTAATAATACCTAGACGATGGTGATGAGAAGATCTCGCCTGATAGAAGCAGAGGACTCAGGTTCTTTACAAATTGGTTTGCTCGGAGGAACAAGAAAGAACAATAATAGTCTGTGACTATGGGTGTCAATGAGAGTCTGGGACCATCATGAGAAGCCATCTTTGTGGCAGGTGAATGTTGTAACATCACCAATGGCCCTGAGTCAAACTAACTGACATCTTACACTTATGAGGCCCTTGAATACTGTTTAGCAACAGCCCATGACTTCACTCACAAGAGACGTGCTGCCGCCAACATCGTTATGGGTTTGTTGTTAGCTTGATCTTTTGCCTATTGTATTTGCAATACAAAACGCTCTCTGTCTACGTTGTTATATTGTAGCTATTGTAGTGGAATCTATTATGTAGCTACTACTGACACCCTGGCACCGAATAATGGTTACCTACACGAAGAATAACTGGAACAGAGTTTGGTGAATCGATACAAATATAGATCAGCACGTGCACCCACATGTACAGAAAAAGGAAGGCACGTGTGGCTATTGTTTGTGGAGTCACTCCACTCTTTGCTCTACCTCAGGGTACAACAGAATAATCTGAGTCTATTGCTTCTTGTCTATACCCGACAGCGATAACCCAACCCCCCGAAAAAGCACCGCAACTCAGAACTATGAACCAGCCTGAAATAAGAGATTATCGGGCGTACTGTCCTCCTGGAGTCAAGCGTGTGATTGCGTCAGGTGGAAGTGCATGGATAGGAGAAGTTGATGAGACTACAGTCTTGAAGTACCCTCTCGCGCCTGATGGCACAGACATAAGTCGGCTCGACACAGAGAGACGCCTCCTCGAGATTGTCGGACCTCACGAGCATATCATCAAAGTGAAAGGATGCACAGACAACAGCTGGCTATATCTAGAGCGTGCGATCAACGGGAATCTAGATGACTACTATCTCAGACCAGCACATCCACATCCACCTCCATCCCTCGAGCAGAGGCTAAATTGGTGCCAAGAAATAGCCGAAGCAGTTGCGTGGGTTCACAGTAGGGGAGTTATCCATTGTGATATACAGCCCAGGAATATCCTTCTGGATGAAGGGTTACGCACGAAGCTAGCTGACTTCCAAGGGAAGCATTTGTCAGAGGATGGCACTGTGCTTCTTGATGGGTGGAGCGGAGAGCCTTGCAGGTTTTATTGCCCTCGTCGCGACCCCTTTGACGCGGATGTGCAAACAGATCTCTTTGCCCTGGGATGCACTATCTATTTTATTATGATGGGGCATGACATGTTTCCTGACATCGTTGATGGAGAAGATGCGTGGTTTGAAAGAGTCGAGCATAGGTTTGCATCGCAGCAATTCCCAGAGGATACGCATGCTTGCAGTGAAATCACTCGCAAATGCTGGCACAAGGAGTACGACTCTGCCGATGATTTGCTTCTGGATTTGGAGGTTATCCGAGAGGAATTATTCGGCGCTGACAGTTGTTGAGCACGCTAAAGTGTCTGCTGCACAAGATCAACTTTGAGACAGCACTCTATAGCTTTATACAGGAATGCTCATCTCTCATGTTGAAGCCAAGCCGGCGTTTGTGCCAAGTAGATGGCAACGGCACCTCCCAGGTCTGTCATCAATGCAGATTTATACTAGATAGATAATCTTGACTTGATACCTCGGTCACTTCATGAGCATTGTAGCATAAATCGACCATTATGTGTCACGTGACCATTGTACCCTGCGGTACCCGCAACGAGAAGTCCCAATGAGCCTATTCGGAACCTTTCTATGGAAACATATGCGACAAATAGTCAGCTGCGATGCTCACAAACATAATGACTTCAATTTGTTGAGCAGAAACATTGTTTCTAAATGCTGCTGCTCATCCAGCAGAACATGATGTGATCGGTCGCTTATCAATACTCCGTGAGCTAAGCCAGAATCCTGCAGCTGCTGTACGCAAGTTGACTCATCGGAGGTCCGGTTATCTCCCCGGCGATAACAACGAGCTTCATCCATCCCCATCCCCATCCGCCATTTCAATATCAACACACATCGCTCGCTACACCGGGAAAGCGCGGGTTACACAACCCCTCCTTCCCTTCGCACAATGGATTCCAAACTAGATCTGGAGTCGTCGCGCGGCTACGCAACCTCAGCTGCGAAGCCAAAACCTCACTCTTCTCTGGCGCGCAACATGGGACGCGTGCTTCTGACCTTTGTTCTTGCGTGCGTTTTGGTCACATTGACCAATGCGCGCCGATGCACTCACCCACAACCCGCACAGTCGCGAGTGGACAAAATTCTGTCGGAGACCCCGTTGATAGGCGAGTAGCTTGGTTTGAATGTCTACAATTGCCTTATCTAACGACTACAGACGGCCACGATGATCTACCCATCTTCATCCGCGAGATTTTTGGCAATCACATATACAGCGATGATTTCAGAATTCCCTTCACTGAGGGCAATTTGCTGGGGCACGTCGATCTGCCACGCCTCGCTGAGGGCAGAGTTGGCGGCACCTTCTGGAGTGTCTTTGTAGAGTGTCCGAAGAATTGGAGCGATTTCTCCGACGCAACCTATACAACGAGTACGTACGATAGTCACGATACCTCCGTGTATTTCTTACTAATGTTTTTTATTCAGGTGTCCGCCAGACTATTGAACAGGTAGATGTCATGTTGCGCCTGCAACAAGCCTACCCCAATGTCTTTTCCGAGCCACCCAATGGGACGACTGCCCTTCAAGCCTTCAAGGAAGGAAAGATCATTTCCCCGCTTGGGATGGAGGGCCTTCATTCCATCGGTAATTCCCTAGCTCACTTGCGAAACTTCTATGATCGCGGCGTGGCATATGCAACTCTCACTCATAACTGCCACAATCGCTATGCTGATGCAGCGCTTGTCGAAATACCCGGCGGCATCAAGAAGGCAGACCCGGTCTGGCACGGAGTGAGCAACGCCGGTAAGGATCTTGTCTTCGAGATGAACAGGCTTGGCATGATAGTCGACTTGTCTCACGTTAGTGTGGACACTATGCGGGATGTCTTGGGCGCTGGAAAAGACGATTGGGCTGGTAGCCGCGCTCCTGTGATGTTCAGTCACAGCTCCGCGTACGCAGTCTGCCCCCACCCCCGCAACGTCCCGGACGATGTTCTGGAGCTGGTCAAAAAGCGTAACTCGATTGTAATGGTCAACTTCTCCCCTGACTTTATTTCGTGTACTGCTTCTGACGATCCGAATGGCCTGCCTGAGTTTGATCCCGAGCATGCAACTCTGGAGCACGTGGTGGACCACATCATGTACATTGGAAACTTGATTGGATTCGATCATGTTGGATTGGGAAGCGATTTTGACGGTATACCTACTGTTCCACGCGGTCTTGAGGATGTGTCTAAGTATCCGGATTTGATTGCTGAGCTGTTGAGGCGCGGAGTTAGTGATGAGGATGCAGGCAAAGTTGCTGGCGGGAACCTGCTGCGGGTGTGGAGAGATGTGGATCAGGTTGCCCTTCAGATGCAGGCGGAGGGGGCGCTCCCGGTTGAGGATGAGTTGTCCTGACTTGGGGGTGCGCATAATGCGGGCCCCTCGGACTAGTATCACTGCATAAACATTCTTTTACGTAGAGATAATCGGGAAATAGGCGTGGCAGATAACAACAAAGAATTATCAAACTACTAGCCTTGACATCAAACTAGCTAGGCACCCCTCAAGAGGACCAACGTCACGTAAGCAAGCAAAGTACAAATAATGCTACTTTAATAGTTGATCAACCACGGACATCTCTTCGTATGCCACTGTCGACATAAAGCGCACTTGAAAGCGCCAGGAGCGGCTACCGCTGTATTCAGTATATACTATAACATCTTCAATCAGAGATCCTACCGTGCAAGTAATCGAACTCATCTGGTCTGACGGCCACAGGGGGGTTAGAAATATGCTGGAAGGTGCCTGAGCCCGAGCCAGATGTCGAGGAAGACTGCTAGATCAGTGTTAACATTTACTAGTAGATGAGTACAACTTAAACGTCTCACGTACAGGCTCTTCCTTGTGGACGTCATGCACTGATTTCTCTTTGTTCGTCTTTGAGCTGTCGTTCTTGGCTTGAGGATTAAACTCTGGTAGTTCGGGGCTGGGTCGTATGCTAGTCAATAATAAAGCGATTGAGTAGAATCAAGACAACTAAGTGACTGCTCACTTACGGTTCCACTCCTGGTGCCATTTTTGAAATCTGCATTAGTGAAGAGCTAGCTCCTGAGGGACATCAGAGGGGCTTATGGAGTATAACCTGCTACTACTTGTCAGTATTGAATCATACTCTTGGCGCTTGCCCATTCACGTCACCAGCCGGAAGCTGTATCGTCCCCCCAAAAAAGAAGCATCAGATGAAGGGCGGGCATGCCAGCAGTGTAACCCTGGACTGTCACTCGCTGATGCATTCATTTCTGAGATGGTCTCGGTTGTGATGTTCTATTAGTTCTGATACTGATGAATGTTCACCTGAGTTGTACTACGTATGGCTTATCCTGACCAAGCCCGAGTCGAAGATATCTGTGGATCGCAGAAGAGCACAGGGAAGCGAATCTATTACCTCGAACATGGCTGTCGGCATCTACCGAACAAAATAAATCATGGAGAGAATGTATCATAAACGGCATCACCCGGCTAGAGCTGATAAAATGTTAAACATGCACTGAGCAATAGCCCATATATTCCCTTGTGTGTGTGCTACCCAGGTATTATATCATGGGTGCTTGGGATTCACAGATCAGTTGTCAATTCATATGTCATTGGAAAAAGAGAAAAAGAATAAAAGGACAAGAGGAGGATAATGAATCGCGTATATAAAAAGTATCACTACAATTCGTGAATATCAGGATAGACATGGACCTGTCTATAGAACCAGAATATAGGGAGGATCCAACCCCTGGGGTTTATAAAAAGCCTATAACTCGGCATTCATGGCTTCATTATAGTATTCAGTTGTTCAAGTTTAAAAATTTGTTCTCATACATTGCTGGATGCAATGATCGTCTCCACTTTATATATATGCTACATGTCGCAGTCATCAGTCTTCCGCGCCATTGAAGAAAGTACTGTTAAACTATCAACATGGACTAGTGGAAGAGCTACAGTCATCTAAACTGAGAGAGTCCAAGAAGGATTCTCAGATCGACCTCCATACCGACATTCGGTTTTATATACAGCGCCGCCGAGCAATATGACTACTTGTATACCCCCATTTCGGCTTCTTGTTTGTTCGAAAAGATGCTGATATAGGCTCTAGGAGGTATTCTTCGCGCAGGACACAACTGTACATTGGACCGCCTTTTACGAGTATACTAGTAAAATGTTAATACAAACATACTAGGAACTTCCACCACCGCCCCCGTTACCCCCGAGAACTGTATGATGACGCAATTGGGGAATGGATACAAGGAAGACAAGTACTGATTTAATGGACAGCCCTCACCTATTGCACTATCATCACGCTCTCCAACGCCTCCACCTCCGTCACCGGCTACATCTTCATCAGGTGCTCAATTGCCTTATTCATTTGTATATTGAAAGCACTTTTATGGGATGCTAAGAGAGGAAGTATCAATGCCACTATTAGCCTCCACAACCTCCAACGCCTCCTCCGCCTTCGCCTCCGCCAACCACTCGCCGCCGCCATAGTACGCCATACTAGAAAGAGACTTTCAATTGTGCAGATAGAAAAGTAACAGCAAAGAGTTCTCAGCTAAAAATCGAAACGTCGGCGCATGAGCTACAGTGAAATCGGGATCGCATTTGGCGAAACACATCCATAGGGCCATCAACGCAGATAACAATATCAATTCATGCATGCTAGGAAGCCCGTCGGGAACAAGGACTCTATGGGAATTCGATGTTAAAGACACCCAGTTAAGCTTTGCCAGTATGGCTCATTGACGGTAGCACTTCCGGGACGTCTGATGGGGTTTCATGGTTGCTTCTCAGACCCATGAATGCCGAGTTCTGTCATAACAGTGACATTACTTATGGGGATACATACAGGTATCAACCCAGAGGCCATATATCTTAGATTGTTTGACACTAATAAAATTTTATATTGTAATAGATCTCTTCCAATATCAAAATTTCTTCAACTCTGATTAGGTTAATCTTTTCGGCTTCGGTCTGACCATCTGATACTGTTGCAGTTGATTTTGACCCTGTCACATGTGGGTGCCTGACCACGTCATCATGTGGCTGTGAGGCTAGGATTTTGTCAGCCTGACTAGATAACTAGGCTGGATAAATAGTTAACGAAGAATCATCTCACAAGTGCTGGGTCAAATTATCACAAGTATTACAAGTTCAACCAGCTTAGTACGAACTACAAAGCGATTCTTTACATCTGTCAAATGGCGCAAGCTTTCACCTATTCTCCTTTGGATCCGTCCTCTAAATGTATTAGGCTTCTTGAATTACTGCCATCTGCACCGTCTGAAACAGTTCGCTGCAAACTACATGTTGTCGACCGAACCTGCTGTCCATCTTACGTTGCTTTATCATATACCTGGGGTTCTCCGCAGAACAGGCAACCAATTGATTTGGATGATATGGAGTTTCACGTGCAAGAAAATCTTTGGAACTTTCTGAGTACCATGAACTTATACCGGAGATGGCAGCTCTTCTGGATCGACGCAATATGTATCGATCAGTCCAGTATCTCAGAGCGAAATCACCAAGTCAACATGATGAGGGATATATATGCCGGAGCAGAACTTACGGTGGTATGGCTAGGCCAAGCCACTGATTCCAGTGACCTCGCTATTAGATATATCGCAAATCCAGGTTTACCAGCTCAAGAAACCAGATCAGCCTTGGAGGAAGCATTACAAAGTCTACTGGAGAAACCATATTGGAGTCGAATATGGATCGTCCAAGAGCTCATGCTCGCAAAAGATGTCATGTTTTACTGCGGCACAAAAAGCTTTGGTTGGCATCAGTTGGCATCTCTTCGCCAGAAGATAAAAACCCATGTCGTGCACCATGATTCATTGGGTATCTCAAAATGTACAGGTTCGGTGATGATCGCGCAGAAAATGCTCTGGGACAACCTTCCTCCAAATGACCAGCACTTACCCCTCTCGGACTTACTGATGACTTACGGAAGGCATAAAAGTTCAGATATAAGGGATAAAGTGTATGCACTGCTTGGTCTTGCTTCGGAAAACTCAGTCCAGGCGAACTACAATCTGTCAGTGGACGACATATATATCGAGGTATTGGAGGCAATATGCAAAGAGAGAAATCCCAGACACCAGCTCTCCACCATCGAACATACGTTACAGGAAATGTTGTGTTTGCCGAAGGGCCTCAGAAGACCACAGATTTTGAGAGGAGATCCTATACCTGCAGATGCCTTTGCAACCAGGGTACTGGAATTACGGCGGCAGAAGCTTGGTGATACACACCCCCATGTTCTTGAAGGAATGGCCAGTCTCGTACAGCTAGACAGTAAGCCGGGCCGACCATGGCTTGCCCGGCAAATCTCAATTGAGGTGTCGGAGATAGTGTGGGAAAAACCTGGTCAGAAACGTTCCAGCATTCATCAAGAAACTCGAGATCTTAGGCCACATCAACCTTGGCATGCCGAACTAATTAAGGCCGAGTACTTAGGAGATAAAGTATTACAGCTGCAACAAGAAGTACTTGGTGAGAAACATCCCAGCACTCTTCAAAGTATGGTAAATCTTGTGTCAGTTTACCATTGGCAAGGCAGGCTTAATGAGGCTGGGAAACTAGGAGATAAAGTGTTACAGCTGCAAAAAGAAGTACTTGGTGAGAAACATCCCAGTACTCTTAAAAGTATGGGAAATCTTATGTCAATTTACCGTCAGCAAGGCAGGCTTAGGGAAGCCAAAGAACTATTGGACTCAATCTTTCCAAACATGGCAAATCTTGTATCAGTATTCCGCGAGCAAGACAAGCTTAGAGAAGCCGAAAACATGTGGGGCGAAGTGTGTGAATGCATGATAGACTTGGTGTTGATATACCGCGGGCAAGGCAAGCTTGAGGAGGCTGAGGAATTCACACACAGAATAGTGCAGCTGGAAAAAGAAATATTCGGTGAGTTTGGTTATCTTTATCTTAGACGCACACATTATCGCGCAAGGCTTCAGTTTAGTTTAGATTAGTTTGATCTCTTTTAACCTAATGCAGCCGCCTGGTTGCGTGTATAGCTATATAGATAATGCTCTCTGCCTGGTATGAAGACTTTCGAGCTCTATAATAAATTTCTAATTTAATAAATAGACAGATCCTGTATAAAGTCCAGAAATCTTTATATAAACAGATATATTTACAGCTTGATATTCTTTTATATATCTAGACTGGATATCTTCAGAATCTAAATCCCTTATTGTTCCTTGTTACTGTATAGTTACTTTTAATAATTCTTTATACAGGGTTGATTCCAAAGCTAGTTATGAATTTAATTATTTAGACAGAATTTATATAAAGAAATATATAGAAACTACCGTGCCCCTTTCTCTGACTGTGATATATATACTTAATCTTGAGTCTAGATCCGGGTTCCAGAGGAGTAAAATTTTCTAGACTTTCTCTGCGTAGATGTCTCCAGGTAGAGTAGGTGTCCGCAACGAAATTTAAACCTGTAGTCCCTAATTACTAAGAAAAGGGCCTTTTATCTCTTCCTGTACAAGCAGAGCCTTCCTGGTGACGTTCTACCACTATGCCACCGCAGGCTTCTTGCAAGGGTATTGGCCCGATAGGGAAGCTTGAGGAAAGTTAAGGAAATAATTCAAAGCATGACAAGACTTATAGGATACTACCTTGAGCAAGACAAGCTTAAAGAGGCTAAGAAAATAGAAAATGGGGTATTATAGCTGCAAAGAGGTTTACTTTATAAAAATCTTCTGATACTCTACAAAGCCTGGTATACCTTGTGTGAATATTGTCAGTAAGGCAGGCTTACGATGGGCAGGAATATGGGGAGGCCGAAGTTGTCCCGGTTGGGGAGAATAGCTTATTGATGTTTTGAATCGACACTAAATTCTGTTGACAATGAATCTTCATATACCGACCTTATCCAGTATCAATAAAAATGGTTGCAAATCAATTTGGTGATGATTTGTATGTCACGTAGCTAGACAGCCTCTTTTCCCACAATACGATCTTTGTTTGATAGTGTTTCTCCTATAGCCAAATTCGGTTAGAACTACTACCATATCTAGCGGTCCAACCATCTACCGTGGATTAGCTATTCTATGATTTAGCAGTTATCAGTGCATCACATTGATTTTGAACTTGTATGTAGAATCTCATGTTATCAGAAATAACTAATAGGATCAATCTCATTGAACTACGAATGAGAAGCATTGACACTATCCGGAACAACTCTTGTGCCCATACATATATGGTATATTATTAATACCCGGGAGCTCAGCCAAAAGGGCAACCATCCCATTAATCTAATACAGGGATATCGGAAATTGGTATCACCACATCTTACTCTTCCTTTCTGAATGGAACTCTTATTTGAAACCAAGCCAAACCTGTAATCACATCGTATTAGAAATAATATAATATATTATTTCTACTTTTCTAGATACAAGATCTCTTTGGCTCAGATTCTTGAACACACTCTGCCAAAGTACCTTCCTTATCAGGCAGTTCAGTGCGGGAGCCAATCAGAGGCCTCGCCGCTGGAGCCAAAAATTTCCTCGAAAATCCCGAGGAAGTTCATCCATCCTACCCCAGAACTACTCACTATCAAGCATTGACCTCTATCTCTAGAGAAGGGTCTGGACTGTATTAGTCTCATCGATTTCGGTCCTTGCGACTCGCCTTCGCCCAAGTACCGATTCAGTCGGTTACTGCGATGTGTCCCCAGGACTCCGTCAACCCCTCCCAGAGTGCTCCCCGCCCATAGGTACTCTATCTGGCCCGCCTCTTTGAGCCTTCACGCCGCCACAAGGGGTCTCAGATCCCACCACTGTCACACGGAACTCGTTTGTTTGTCTTGATACACTAAACATGGAGGCATCTGCAAACGAAGGTAGTTTTGCTCGTCCGTTGCAGCCTCACAAGCACTAACAGTTCATCTTCATAGGTTTTTTGGCCTTCTGGCATTCCTACCGCTTGCCTCTTCTCCTCGCTCTCGCTACCCTTGTCGTTCTCGTTCGCGCTTATCATAAGCTGCAGCCCAAGTCCAAAATTGCTACTGCTTCCTCCATCCCGTCGTCGCCTCGCAGCCATTCCCCGGAAAAACGTGAAAAGACCATTAGCCAGTCTACGGAGAAGGATGTAAAAGCCGACTCAAAGCGCTCGGTCGTGGAGAAGGACGCGTCGCAAAAGCAGGCCGGTCCGAAGCGGGTCACAGGAAAGAAGCCACTAAAGGTTGCTGGTCGGCGTAGAGGTTCTGACCATGAACCCCCTGTCTCCTTCATTCAACCTATCATCTTCTTCGCTTCGTTGACCGCAAACACCGAGAGATATGCCCAAGTTTTGCTGGAAGATTTGCGTGCTGCTGCGCGCGATCGGGCTGATCCTGAAAATCGGGAACGAGGCCTCCTTCCCCCCCAGATTCACGACCTGTCCTATGTCGATTTCGACGACTACTTCATCAGCGCCCCGAAGCCCCCTTCGACTTCGCCAGGAACACGCTATGTCTATTGCATGCTGATCCCGACTTACAACATCGATACCATCTTGAACACCTTCCTCGGTCACCTCGATGAAACTCATCATGACTTTCGCATTGATACTGCACCTCTGTCTGGTCTCGCTGGCTATTCTGTCTTCGGGTTTGGCGACAGAGAAGGATGGCCTACCGAAGAGGAAGGTTTCTGCTCACAGGCCAAGGAACTGGATCGCTGGATGGCGAAACTCACAGGCAGGAAGAGGGCCTACCCTCTTGGTTTTGGAGATGTCAAGAGCGACGCAGATTCGGCTTTGAAGGAGTGGTCCCGTGGCCTACAGGATATTCTCGGTGATATTGTCGAAAATGGCGGCCTAGGTGAAGGTGTCCCCGGTAGTGGTGATCCGCTCGAAAGTGATGAGGAGGATTTGGACGACGAAGGTTCGGACTCCGACAAGGCAAACGGTCGGAAGAAGAACAAGAATCAGTCGGTGGTCGACCTGGAAGATATCAAATTCAGTTCGGACGCTGCATCCGGATCCCCTATTCCAGTGGATTTCACTACGGGTGGAAAGACTCCTGCGCCCGCCACTGAGAAAGAGATGGTGCCCAAGACCTCGCCCACCTATGCCTCTCTGACTAAGCAAGGATATACCATTGTTGGTTCGCACTCTGGCGTCAAGATCTGTCGTTGGACCAAGTCCGCCCTGCGTGGTCGTGGCTCCTGTTATAAGTTCTCGTTCTACGGTATTCGCTCTCACCTGTGCATGGAGGCAACCCCTTCGCTTTCCTGCAGCAACAAATGCATCTTCTGCTGGCGTCATGGTACCAATCCTGTCGGCACCACTTGGCGTTGGAAGGTGGATGATCCGGAACTCATCTTCAATGGAGTCAAGGAAGGTCATTACAAGAAGATCAAGATGATGCGTGGTGTTCCGGGTGTGCGTGCGGAGCGATTCGCCGAGGCTATGCGGATCCGTCACTGTGCTCTCAGCTTGGTCGGCGAGCCGATCTTCTATCCCCATATTAATCGTTTCCTGGACATGCTGCACAGCGAACACATCTCCAGTTTCCTTGTCTGCAACGCCCAACACCCCGACCAGCTTGAAACGTTGCATCGGGTGACGCAACTCTATGTCTCCATCGATGCTAGTAACCGCGAGAGCCTACGTAAGATCGATCGGCCTCTGCACCGCGACTTCTGGGAACGTTTCCAGCGCTGCTTGGACATCCTTCGGGAAAAGCGTCATTACCAGCGGACGGTGTTCCGTCTTACGCTGGTCAAGGGATTCAACATTGACGATGAAGTGATTGGATACGCTAACCTGGTTGAGAAGGCTCTGCCTTGCTTTATTGAAATTAAAGGCGTGACTTACTGTGGTACCAGCACCAGCGCCGGAGCTGGACTGACAATGCAGAACGTTCCTTTCTATGAAGAAATCCAGCAGTTTGTCACTTCTCTCAACGCAGAACTAGAGCGCCGTGGTCTGAAGTATGGTATTGCCGCCGAGCATGCTCATAGTTGTTGCGCGCTCATCGCGTCCGAGCGGTTCCACGTTAATGGCAAGTGGCATTCCCGGATCGATTACGATAGGTTCTTCCAGCTCTTGGAGAAGGAGAAGGCCGACGGTACCTCGTTCACGCCGGAGGACTATATGAGAGAAACCGAGGACTGGGCGCTGTGGGGTAACGGAGGCTTCGATCCGAATGATGAGCGTGTCTACAGGAAGGGCAAGAAGAAGGCCATTCAGGCTGCTGTTGAAGCCTAGGGATGATCGGCCTCTTCACATGGTATATATGCCTATACATGGGTTGGGTTCCATAGCAGTTCGACGGTTTGCCCGCGAGTCTCATTCTATGACGCGACCAAAAGCCCACACTCTTGCCGAGACCCCTTCTCATCAGAGCTCGACCTACCAGCAGCGTGCCGAACAACGCTGCTTCACCAAGATGCGAAGTATCGCCCCACTGGTTACGGACTTCGTTCGGCGAAAGACGAGCCCAAGTTCCCCGTCCATGGACTCTGCCCCAAACCTCGTTTCACAGTGCCCGAGCATTCCGTGCCGCCGTTGTGAGGCCCACAGAAACGCTATATACGAAACGATAAGGCTAGTAGATTTCATTTATGACTTCCTGTATCTAGTTAAAATTACGAAATGACACATGTCAAATGACGTTTTGTAGCTCATGATCATACGAGTTTTGCCTAAGTGGGTTTGTTCTGACAGCTGTTGAGTATGGTTTTGTATGGCCGTTTCATATTCCTTTGTTCCAGATGTCTTTGCAAATGACCTTCAGATCATTCTCCTAACCTCTAAAACTGCTATACTACAGGATGTCATGGCTTGGCACTTCTCTTCCTCAGGCTGTCTTTGGCCGTGCATTCTGGCTGGAGCCTAGAAGAAGATCCATCGGCTGGGCTTTCTGTCGATCTGCTCCTAAAGGCTCTCACCCAGGAACAGTTCGGGCTAAACAAAATTTCGTACTCGACTGACGCGCCGGTGGATTGGTCGCCTGCGTCGGCTAGTCATGCCTGTGGGGAACGATCCGAAGAAGGTGGATCAGCAATCAGTGGGGACCACTTTCTGAACTGCCGTGCAGGTACGACTGCTCCAAACATATCGTCAATCTCGCTGGGCGCCCGATCTTTCATCTCTGGCAAGTAAAGCCATGTTCCCACGAGGGCAATGGCCGAGAAGCCCGCACATACAAAACGGTCTTACCGCGCAGGGCACCCTCATCAGGGTTGGAGATGTACGGCAAGACGAGGTCGAAATCGACGCTGGAGAGTCCGGCAACGAACCAGCCCAAACCTTGGGACTTGGCCCGAAGCCGCAGAGACGATGCTTCTCCACCGACAGCGTAGGATGCTGGCCATGCACCAATACCGCAGGCCGTGGTTACCGTGACTAGTATGATTCCCGTGTATCTGAACGACAATTGGCTTTGGTTATTGCTTATCATTTGCAGACAACCTACCAAACGCTAATGGTTCCGGGATGCAGCCGGCAATCCCTATGCCTATCCGAGTGAGGATCGAGACGCTTAAGCTGACAATGATCAGAGGCACACGGCCAAATATGGACAAGGTCTGCATGCTGATGAGGTTAGCTGCATCCAGCACAATCTTGTAAATTGTCCTGCGGCTATAGCGCCGAAGAGACCGCCAAGGGGGCTAGCTACGTCCCATAGGCTCAGCCGTAAGGACGGGATGATGAGTGCTCCGTTCAATCGACGGCCGAAATCGCGTCTCACGAGGTCAGAGATGCTACGAAGACACAACTCGAAATAGTGCTTACTGGAACTCCGGAATGGCGGAAACATTTCCCACGATGACTAAATTATACCCATAGCGCAGGATACCAGACGCCAGTGTTACGCAATAACCAAGATCTTGGGGTAATGTTCGATAGCCGCCAAGAGCGATGAGGAAGGTGTTCCCTGCGACGAGAAAGGAACATGTTGCCTAGGAGGAACCTTACTATTCCTTGATAGGAGCATATGCCTGTGCGTAGAGCAGCGGTCAACAATCGTACGATTGATGGCATGATATCCCCTTTTAAGTATCAATGCCGCGGCATGAATATACTCCGGAAACTCAGGGCCGACCGGGGGTAGTTGCCTGTACCTACGTGAAGTTTGCACGAGGTTGGATGATGAGTTCGGATGAGGTCCTAATTGCATAAACCCATGCCTCCATTGGATGCGATCATAGCAATTGGTGGGCTGAGTAACCCGGGTATGCAGCCATCGGTAATGATGAGTGCATGCAGAACTGTGTCGTGACATTGATCTTATTCTGACAACAGTCACCTGCTGTAGGGGACTTGATCTGTCCGACAGAATGCGTGACACATCATGGACCTGCAAATTCTGGACATCGGATGAACGGAACAACGAGGTGTACCAGCAGAGCCAGGCCGCGACTTCGTAACATCACTGTCTCTTTGGCATAGATTTGCGCCTGGTCGGTGTAGGTCACTCCGGCCAGCCTGGGCCATAAGCAGACCGACATTCCGTAGACTAACTGATGCTAACCAGGTTTAGATATACTTGAGCTTGAGCACGTTGAATTTCCTGTTAGGGGGATATCCGGACGGCATCATATCAATACTCTGTTGGGCATCAAGCAGTGGAGAGTTCGAAAAGGGTCCTGTGAGCCGCCATTCGGAGACAGCTATGAGCTTCGCTCAAAGATAGCTGACTGACAGAGGACTTGGATCGCGAACATGCAGACTTAGACGGCAGTCAGTCGCTAGCTTCTCGACGTGAGCCGTCCTCAGGGGATGCTCATGCTGCAGAAAATTCTCCTAACCGTGCTATAACAGCGGCAATGGGTTCATCCTAGCCGTCTTCTCCTTGCAGGGATACGAAAATTTAGGCTGGTTAGTCACTGGGGATCCCTTGAAGAAGACCAGTCAGAAGACTAGTCTCCAAAGCAGAAAAAGCAAGACAGGCACTAAGTAGCCGATCAGGAATGTTCTAGGAATGCCACCCATCCCGCCAGTCCCTGTCCGTTGCACGTGCCGAGATAAAGACGAAGATCAAAAAAGCAATTATTACAGGCGGACTTCAGGGGGGAAGGAGTTCCTGCTGCACCATTGCTTACTGTTTGTTTGTTTTGTGTGTATGGCGAGCTGCGAGGGACTTTTGCCTTTCTGGAAACGGTTTCCGATCGACGGAGATTGCGGAACAACCCTGGTCTAATACGTTACCGGGCTTCCGCGGACTTGCGAGGGCTACGATCCCGTGAGAAGCATTTGGATTTAATTTGGATTTTGCTTGTTGCTGGTCGGCTGTTTTGTGTGCGGTGGAACTCGGATAGTGGCAGCATCTGATCTATCGCAGTCAATCGTCTTGGTCGTTTCTTTTTTGGAAAATCCGCCACGTGCTGCGGACGCGCTCGGACAAATGGCTTCCATGTGGCAAGATGGTCTTCTCCTACGCAGGCCTGTGTGTCAGTGAGATGAGGATTACGTTGGGACACATCATGGCCTGTCGATGGTGAAACGGCCAAACTGGATTTCTAGGTGACAGGCCCTTCCTCCGTCAGGGACCAACGTCAGCCAGCAGTCAAAGAAGGTCCACGCAATGTGGTCCCCATATATGTGCCGGTATTATTTTCCTGTTATCTTTTCTGGGTCGGGTTCACATGCCAGACTCAGAGGGAACAATGGCCTTGACTGGGGATCAGCTCGGGGACTTCTTTCTAAAATTAACGCCAATTTAAATTACACTTCGGCATGCGGGCCTGCTGTCTGCAGTGTGCTGCTAGTCGACTGCTCTTGCGTTCTATCAATCGCTCCATCGACCTTGTTAGATCCGCTTAGTGCTCCTGTGCCAGGCATTTTAGCGTCCGCGACTTTCCTCCAAATGGGAAAAGAAAGTCAAGAGGCTACCGTCCGCCTGGGACCTGCACAAAAAGGAGGGAGGAGGGGGGAGGGGCCCATGCAGGAGCAGTAAGATTGCTCACTGAGATGATCCTGCATCCTGCAGTCGGAGTCAAGCCCGTATTCCGTCGGGCTAACTAAAGGCAGACATCAATCTACTCGGGATGAAATGAATGGTTTCTGGCATGAGTGGTCGATGTAGCTCAGTGTCAAAATCAAAACATACTGAAGGGATCCACACAGAGCATTCAACACCGTTGGAGAAGCCGGCTATTGATGCATGCCGCATTGGATCTGAGCGACAGTCAATAGTGGCAATTCCTTTTGATGGCTGGAGATTTCATAACAAATTATTTGCATTCATTCAATTTGTTGTTTGCCATCCGTGCCTCGAGGCGGGCTATCCCCACCCTCCGGATGGGCTTCCGTGCCGGCGAAGGAGACCCGGTGAAGCCCTCATTTTTCCCAAATAGCAGAGGATCTGCTTGAGTCGTGAGGCTGTCAATCTCTGACGGGGCGGGGATTTCGCTACACAAGATGTCTGAATTATTTGGACCGTGACTCCTGGAAAGTTGGAGGGGTTTTTTTTCTCATTCTCCTACTGTTTTTTGTACTTCTATTTTTGCTGGGAACGCGTCGGTTAAGCAACGCGGTTCCTCTTCTTCCCAGCCCCTGGTTTCAATCCACCGCAACCACAGCAACTCCCAAGTGCCAAACCAACAACCTAAACTCCCTACCATCCATGGTTCTACCCCTCGCATTCGGGGACTCCCTGCCCATGACAGTTAGAAAGGGACGGCCCCTGTCCCGATAGAGTATAAAATTTCTGCACCGTCCCTGACTCGTCCGTCGGGGATGCTTCCTTTCCTGGTGGCAAATCCGACCGAAGTGGATCTACAGCACCACGCACCCAATTGACGTCCACTGATGCACTGAAACTACCGACAGGCTGGAGCAGCATCTCCTCCACCTCCAAATTCAGACTAATCGCAAACACGCTTAAGAAATCAGAAGCCATTCACAGACGGGCCCTGACTCGAAGGGAGTCCGCTCACGTCTCCCATCCATAAACAAGACCCAACAACGGCCTGCCAGCCCTGAATCCACCGCAATTATACTGGACCGTGGACACGGTCCAACATCTGCAAAAGTAGAAACAAATTGACACTTCCTGCAGTCCAACTAAGCGAGCCTGCTCAGCTCGCCTGGCTCAAGTTAGTCCTACGTAGATCGCCTTCTCTTTTAGGAGTGCGCACAAGCCCACCACCATCTCCTGGCAGAGGGCGGATGAACATCTGCGACCCGACTAGTTCTGCACCGTTTGGGATCCGACGCGATTAGCTTCGTGTCTACTGCTAGTCCCGGTACTGGTTCTGGACCTCCCCGGCATTTCGGGCCTTCTCATATATTGGGTCATCCCCACCCCACGGGAGCTGAGCTGAGCTTTCTCGAACATGCCTCGACTGCGTCTGTAGCATGGCTAAGGATGACCGCAGCCTCGAGGTCAAGGCGGTTGCGGCCGCCTTTATGTCAGTTGCGTGTGTGACTGTCATACTACGATGTTATGTGCGCGGATGGATCGTGCGAGCCTTCGGCTGGGATGACTGGGCCATGGTGGTGGCCATGGTACGTCTGATCCTGTATTGACTTCAACGCATGGTGTTCTAATCAGCAGCATGTCTAGGGCTTCTACGCCATGTTTTCGGGATGTATGATTGGAGGCAGTCTATACGGTACTGGACGACGTTTCAAAGACTTGGATGCGCATCAGCGTGTAACCGCCATGGAGGTCGGTACTCCTATTCCTTTCACCTCCCTACATCCAACCTAACCTATCCCGAATATAGTACTGGTGGTTTTGTGAGATCGCATATTGTTTTGCGGCCGTCGCCTGTAAAATCTCCGTCTGCATCTTTTTGATGCGCATCACTGTTCGACGCCTCCATATCTGGATCCTCTGGACCGTCATGGTCTTGACCGTCGTTGCCGGCATGGTCTTCATGTTCATCATGTTGCTGCAGTGCAAGCCACTCGCCTACTTCTGGACTCGCAAGGCATTCAACCCGGATATTCACGGCCATTGCATGGACATTCAAATCGTCATCGCCATGACCTACGTATACAGTGGGTTCGCAGCACTGTGCGATTTTACCGTCGGCATTTTACCTATCTTCCTTGTGCGCAAGTTGCATATGAAGCATAAAACGAAAATGGCTGTGGTGGGCATTCTGAGTATGGCATGCATGTATGTTACCTCGCTGCTTCGAAGCATAACCGACGAAACTAACCAACCTCAACAGCGCCTCCTCTGCTACCATCATCCGTATCCCATGGGTACATACCTTTGCGGACTGGGACTTTCTCTGTACGCCTCTCACTCTATCCAAACCCACACAAACCCCTTACTAACCTCAGCCAGACGCAACCGTCGAAATCGCCCTCTGGTCCAACATCGAATGCGGCCTAGGTATCACCGCCGGCAGTCTCGCCACCCTCCGCCCCCTTCTCCGCAAATGGCTCGGCTCCAGCGCCGACCATAACTACGACGCATCCCCATTCCCCGGTCCCTCCGGCTCGCGCCCGCTCGGCAAAAGCGGCGGCATGGGACGCAGTCACGACCGGCCCTACCCACTAGGCTCGCTCGACGAAGCCGCCGTGCAGAACCGTCTCCGGCCAGACAAACTGGCCGTGACCGTAACGACGATCCAAAGCCAGGTGGACCCCGATACGCGACTCTGGCGCGGCGGGTCATCGAACAGCAGTGAGGAACGGCTGACGGGATCCTCGGGCAACGCGGAGCGGACGCATGGAACAATCCCCGAGGGGTCTGATTTGGAATTAGGCATGGGATTAGGTATCCATCGGACGTTTGAAGTGACGCAGACTTCCTCGGGAGGCACGTCACAGACTACTGTGGGGGTGAGGGAGCATGTCTGATACTGATACCTTTGACTTTTTTTCCGATTGATTCCCCTGGGTGTATACGTTATTCGGGTTGCATTGGGCTGGAGTGGGTGGATCTTTCCTTTGTTATTTTTTTTTCTTTTTCTTTTTCCTTATATTTTGGGAATAATGAACATCGCATATATTGCATCTATAGCATATTGCATAGAGCGAGCGCATGAATATAATGATTTACTTCATACTGGGTTGGGTTGGTTTCATGGTGAAACCGTATACGATCATACGAAGTAACTTACTTGGCAGTGATCTGGACTCGTCAGATCTAGAAAAGCTTGGTAAACTTGCATCGGGATCTGACATTTCGGACGAACCCCGGACTTCTCGATTGATAGATCACATTCGGTGGTTGATGATCGATCGACCGATCGATCAATCAATCAATTGCCGACAGTTTGCATATGCAGGGAATTTGAAGTATTGAGTTCGGGATGCATCCCGGTTGGGCGGAGAATACAGCCGGTGCAAGAGTATGTTTACTCCTCCTCCTCCTCCTCCTCCTCCTCCTACTACTACTACTACTACTATGTATACTTTGCAGAGTCGTTACTGTTACTTGGAGTAACGGTACTTTGGAGGTAAAATGCTAGTAAATAGTCAACTATGTCTGGAGAATTCAGTTGCTACTATTGTATATATAGTACTGTGATATAATATCGACGCACTAACCACCAAGCCAAGAAATATACTATTCGACAACGTCCTATTCGTATTCGTATAATAGTAATAGTACGAAGGATCCTGCTGCCGCCGTTAGCGAACGTATTTACTATAATTAAATCAAGCCGATGGTGGAGTACATCATAACATGACATGACATGACAGGATAAGTATGATGTGATATGATATGATATATCACCAGTACTTACTATATGGTAGCCACAGTTTTTAGTTACTTGGCCAAGGAACAAGTATCAGGGATTTGCTTGCAGATATCACCTTAGTATACTGTGTTATAGGGGGTTATTGTATGGTGAATCGGGATTTGTTATTCGGGATCTGTACTTTGAAACTTGGATGTGTTTCTCAGGGAGGACCTTGAGAGGGGCGGTTGTGGTTCTGGGGCCTGTTCGGGTTCATTCGGGGTGAGGTATTTGTTTCATTGAATGCTTCACTGCTGGTATAATCAGCGCTGTATTATTATATAGTTTTGTTAGTGAGCATGAAGAGTACTTTGGAAGATTCTGATATATCATATCGTGATTGTATACTTGCACTTCGGCTAGCTATTTTGTACAGGTTTGATTTTATAAGGTCTAGGAGCTGTAGGAGGATTGTTTTGGGAGGGAATGACAGTTCAGTTAGGGCGGGATCTCAGCAGTAATCTGATCTGGTAGGTTGATAATAGTTATAGTAGAGTGTCATAGATGTAGTAGTGAGTACATTGTATTAGTCTATGTTGAGGTGTCAACTACATTCTCTGGTTGGGTTGTACTTCTACTCTGTAGTCAGTAGTGTAGGAGATACTTCTGGTGATTCCTGTACTATCGCTTTTAGTATTCTGCATAATCACTGGTATATCCTCTGCAGAGGCATAAAGCATATCATCATCTATTTACATTCTATATATACTTTTCCATTAATCATACCAAATAGCATTCATACCGAATCCCTTCTCAGGGATATCCACCCTCGCAACCCGAGCCAACGTCTCATCCTTGAAGCGGTAGATCTCGACAAATCCAAGCTGGTCATCGCACAGCGCCAACCACTCATCGCTAAAGTCGCACGGGCTAACCGCGTTCGAGTGTCCACCACTCGTCGACGTAGGGTGAATGAACAGCTGTTTCTCAATGTTACCGTTCGGGCCCAGCTTGAACGCCGTGATGTAACCCGTGACATCGAAGTGGTTGCTACGGGTCGTGGCAAAGAGGTACTCGCCGCTGCGGGTGGTGAAGGTAACGTCGCCGCGGTACTTGTTGCGCGGGGGCAGACCCTGGGGCAACAGGGGGTATGTGATGTGGGTGAAGACGGGCTTGTGGGTGCGCTCGTCGATGACGTACACGGCCAGACGGTTGCCAGCCTCCATCAGGGCGTACAGGTATTTGCCGCTGGGGTGCATCTCGACCCAGCGGGGGTGGTCATCGGGAGATGGAGCCTCGATGCAGTCGACCAGAGTCAGCTTGCCGGTTTCGGGGTCCTTCAAGTGTGTCCAGATCTTGTTGGCCTGGAGATCGGCGGAGTAGAGGTAGGTCTCGGTGGGGTCAAAGACCATGCCGTGGATACCGGTGTTGGGCTCGTACTCGTAGTTCTGGATGTTCTCGAGGAGAGCGCCATCGGGACCGGCGGAGAAGACGTTGCCGTAGCCGGCGTATTTGTAGAAGGGGTTGCCGTAGACGTTGTAGGGGGGCTTGTGGGCGGCGAGGACGAAGATGGCGCGGGTGTTGGTGTCGGCGCTGGCGGCGAGTTCTGAGAAGTTAGCGGGATTCGAGTGGTTTGTTTAGTGGTAGGGAATACACACCATGACCAGCAACGGGGTGAGAGGCTTGGTGAACAATCTCCGTAGGGCTGTGGACGGCGAAGCTGTTCCACTTCTTCATGGCGGCGCCATAGATGGCTTTCTTGTCGTGCTAGAGGGGAGTGAGCGGGGAGCAGCGGAGGACGCATTGAAGGGTATGCCTACCGAGAAAGTCATCCAGGAGATGGGCTCAGCCTCGGGAATGTCGGTCTTCTTGACAAGGTCGAGAGTGAGGGCCTCATCGTCAAAAGCGACAGTGTAGATGCGGCCTGGAGGGGTCCAGGTACCGACCATAAGATGATGCTTCATGTTGGCGGGGGCGGTAGGGGTGAAGAGGGAGGCTGTGTGTGAGAGAGGGAGGGAGGTATGCTTGGTAGGAATAGTAGAGAAGAGAGATGAACGAGCAATGGCACGGAACATAGTCCCCTGGAGACAGGAGAAGATGAAGAGGAAGAGCCAAAGATGCGATCGGGAATGAAGGCGAGAAGCGCAGCCGATATTTCGCCCGATGCGGTAATGCGGGGAGCCGGCATCCGCGACCGGCAATCCGGGGTTGCCGATACAGCAGAAATATCAAGTATGATCAAGGGTTCAATTATCACTTGATTTGTGATAATATTCAAATTCAATCCATTATGCAATCAGTCCTATCCAATAAGAGAGATATCTGGTTCTGCCATTGTGGATGTTGAGGCATGGCACGTGCGCTGCCAATCCTCCAGATCTATCAGTTCAGCCCTCATTATAGACTATTTCAGCACACTCCAATGCCTAACTCCTCTACTATTTATTTTGTTTCAAATATATTCTTCGAGTCAGAAAGTTTCTGAAATGCCTCCGTCAAATCAAAACAATTGAACTAGACTCTCTTCCCAGAAAAGATACGTACTCTACCTCACTCACAACCTACCCATAGCATCCCTAAGTAGAAAGTAGAAAGTAGAAGGGATTATGAAAATACACATCAATATCATGCGAATTGCACATGATTCTCAGCGTAAAATAACCTTAACCCTGTCTCACTGCATATGCCTCACTGCACCCAATCACACCCCACAGAAATGGATAAACCCTTCGGGGCAGATCCGCGGCAATTCCCATTGCCGGCCGGGAACGCGCTTAGCCGAGACTCGTCAAATTGTCAATACTTGGTATACAACATCACATATCATCCTCACTCGCTCATTGAGATATATACCTAAGTAACTCATCACAAACACTGAGAATACCACGCATTCTCCACCGTACAGGTATATCCATCCGCACAAGTCGTCGCCCCAGTCCATCCCTGCCCACCACACTGCGCATAGTGCGCCGCCACAGCCGTCGATGTAGCAGTAGCAGCAGCAGTGGTAGTAGTCACCTTGCTCGTGGTAGCACTCCCAGCAGCAGAGGTACTACTCGTACTTGCCGCAGCGGTAGTAGTCGTACCCCCCGAAGAAGAGGATGAACCAGGAGTATACCCCTCCAACACGTCCAAATAATACTCATACGCAATGCCATCATCCGGCTCCAACGAAAAGATATAATCCCCCCACCAAGGTCCAGCAGACCACCACATACCGCCCAACCAAACATCACTCGCATCGACCATCGCATCCAACATGCCCGTGACCGCCTCCTCACAAACACTATTCGCGCCGCCCGCAAACTCTCCCAACACCGCCTGCTTCCCATTCTCCCTCAACCAGCTCGTGGCATCGGCAATGCGCTCCGCACCGATCGTCGAGCTGACGCACGTCGAACTCGTCCCGGAGCCATCGCTGTCCAGGTACTGGTGCATTTCGTAGATGAGATGGTCGTTGGGGTCGGTCAGGTTGACGAGGTTGGTGTTGGTGGTGGTCCAGGTCCAGGCGCCCGTGTAGGAGTTGCCTTCAACGAAGATGTATTGCGTGGTGGCGCCGGTGGCGCGGATGGCCGTGATGGCGGCTTGGTTGAGGTTGAGGACCAGGGTTTGGTCTTCGTCGTGGAATTCGTTGTCTATCTCACTATTAGTATATGCTGCTGAAGATTGGGGAAGGTAGGGTAGGTACTGGTATCGAAGATGACTAGGTCATTGTCGGTGAACTCGCTGGCTACGGTGGTCCAGAAGGCTGCGAAGTCGCTGGTCGAGGTGATGATGTTGCCGTAGCTGGATAGCATACCACATTAGTTCTATACTAAAGGAGAGGAAAGGAAGGGAAAGACTTACTATCTCCCAAAATTATGCGGATCAACCACTGCATAAGCACCCAGATCTGTAATGGTTTGCACCGTCTACACCACATCCCCATAATCATCAACATCAGCGCATCTTACACCCAGTAGGGTAACTTACAGCCTTCAAATCAGCCATATACGTCGCATCCGCCGCACCAGTCAGCTCATTAGGCACCAACCGCTCCATGAGAAACGGCACGCGAAAGATATTCATCCCTGCACTATGCAGCGTCTCGATGGCCGTCGCATCAGGCCAGATGTAATCTGTGCCCAAAGTGCCGGGGATATTCCCGGAGCCGAATTCAGCGCCGGATTCGTTGCTACCGAACCCTGCTCACTTATCAATATGTGTCTCCAAAAAGAGTAGTAGAAAAGGAAGAGGTACATTGAAAGCCCGAAGACCGCTTCGCCTTCGGACTGCTACTCGCAGTCCAGGCTTGAACGAGCAGGACAGCCACAAGGGAGAGAGTCTTCATCTTGCCCTGTCACACAGTAGCCGTTTCTTTTCTCTGGCTATGCTTCATACCAATTTGTCAAAACAGATGAAGTCAGTCATTTATATCCATCCCATCATCGACCATCGCACATTCTGCCAGAATACTATTCACCTACCCGGCAGTCGGACCGACAATCCATACCACTCCATCAGAAACTCATCGGCCTACTTCCTAAACAAGAACGGGCGACCGGATTCGTCACGGGTGCGCAAAAGAAACCCAGAACCAACCGGTTTGTAGGTAACTTGGTTCATGCTCTTCCCCTTTGCTGATCCGGAAAGGACCGGATCGTCATCGCTTCGGGAAAGGGGGAACGGAAAGTAAACTAGCCAAGCTTCCTGCAGAGGATGCATGCATTGGGTGCGGAGAATATCCCGTCCAGCCATGTGGTGTTGTCTGGGATTGGCGCTGGTCATGTCAGCACTACTTTAGGCTTTCCGCACGGATGTTCTGCAGATATGTGAGGAGAGGGGAAGGATTTAATTAGGTGAGGGTTGATTGATTGATTGGGTTGTGCCTAGGTTGGGCCTCGGGTACGGGAAGTTAATTTATTGTATATAGTACTAAGTATTGGTATAGTGCCGTAGTGTGACTTAGGGAACGTGGTTGGTAGATTCGGCGTCAAGTGATCATGTCATATTGCTCCCTAGTAATCTTAACTAAATTGTAGTACGTGTGCTAACTACCGTTCACTAACTAATCCCCCCACACTGCTTCTTCATCCCCCTTCAGGCACTGTCTACAGACACTGCGAGTAGTACGCATTCTCATATGTGCAAGTGTATCCACTCACACAAGTGGTCGGACCCGTCCAGCCCTGTCCACCACACTGTCCATATGCCTGCGCCGCCGAGGTCGAACTGCTACCGCTGCTGGTCGTCGTGGTAGTCTTCAAGGTCGTCGAAGTCGCCTTCGTGGTAGTAGAGCTGGAGCTGGAGCTAGACCCCGACCCCGAAGATGACCCACTGGAGTAAGTCGAGCCAATGGGCCCGAACTTAATGTTCGAGTACGTAACATACGCATTAGGCGACTCCGCCTCCACAGTAGCCGGGACACCCGAGTCAGTGCTACAAGTACCGCGAGCCACACCCGGTGTCGAGGCCGACGAGTTAACGGGATAGTCGCTGTCGAGCCAGAGCATGTTAGCGGCGTAGTCATCCCACAAACTCAAGACCAAGACCATTCCATTTGCCATAGCCTCGCCCATGCCCGCGAGACCGCCGTGCGTGTCAAACACGTTCTCATCGCCAAACAGAGTCTTCTGTGATTCACAGAAATCGGAAGTGATCGAGCTGCCGTTGACGCTGGAGTAGGTGGAAGCGCCGTTGGCGATGACCTTGCCATTCTGCACGTACAACCGCTTGATCTCGGTCAGGGTACCGGAGGAGGTGCCGTCGTCGGTGATGAACTGGGTGACGACCGTGAAGGGGCTGTTCGTGTCGACGGTCAGGCCAGGGCCGTAAAAGTCCGTGTTACCCAGACGGTAGGGGTTGTAGTCGCAGCCGTCGGGGTCGCAAGTGCCGCTGTAGCGGTCGCCGCTGGCGCTGTAAGTTCCACCGCAGGAGTCTCCGTCGCACATGGTCTGGCTGGTGGAGTCGCATGGGTGTGCGGTAAAGGCGTTGGAGATGCTGTTCGCTTCCCAGACGTCCATCTCAGGGCAGCAGGAGCCGTGGTCGCCAACACCGGTGTTGGCGTTGTTGCTAGAGGGCTCCCAGCCGTCGCAGTTGGCTTCGCCATTGATGAACTTCAAGTCGCGGGGGCACTGCGAGTCGCAGTATCCGGTACCGTATTTGGCGCCGGCCTTGTTGCCAGAGTACTCTGAGGTGCCGCCATCAGCGTCCATGGCGACGAAGTACAGCGCGCCGTTGAGACCACAGGGGAGGTTGGACACATCCACGTCAAAGGTGAACTCCTGGCCGAGGAGCTTGAACATCTCATAGGTACTGTCGTCGCTCATGAGGTACAGCCGGGATCCAATATTCTTGCTGGAGCCCTGGGTGACGAAGTTCAGGCGCAGCTCGTCGCCGGACGTGGTCACACCGTAGGTCGCCTCATAGGTGGCACCATCGAGCGCGCAGTTCGCAGCGCAGGTCACATCGTCGGTACAGATCGAGGTGTCCCACTCGTTGCCGGTGTAGCAGTTGGTGGAGCTGGAGGTCGAGTGCACCCAGCGCCAATTGGCATCAATGACCACCGCGCCGTTGTTGGTAGTGCAGCTGCCACTGCTGGTGCAGGTTTGCCAAGTCAGAGACGGATGCGTCTCAGTGGTGTAGGTTCCAACCTGCTGAGCATTGGCAGTGGCAAGAATGGAGAGCAGCAGAGCTGCTCGGTAGATCTGAAAGGAAGACATTGCGATTCACTGTTTGAGCTCTTGGGCTTCTGAGTTCTGCTGTGATGAATGCGAATGCTGTGATGATGAACATAGGGGAGGATCGAGCTCTTTATACCTTTGCAAATGTATGCTGCCTATCTCAGAACTCCTTGATCAAGGATATGTTACGGCTATACGGACCGCATCCCGGCATGGCACGTAGAGTAGACTGGCTTCCTCGTTGCCCAATCTTGAAGCCATCGTGACAAGCGACCTCAAAGGAGACGGTTCCCTTTACCAAAATGGCAATCCGGCAGTCTGGTGGCGCCGCCACAATAAGCAGGAGACAATGCCGTTGTGCATCCGGCAATCCGCACGGGACAACCATCTCACGAGCCCAAAAAGGAAATCCAGTGCAGACCATGTGACTTGCAGCGTAGCCCTACCGGAAAGCCCTAATCTTATCAATCACCGCACCCCGCCTGAGTCATCAAATCATGACCGAAACCGGGCAAAGATCCTCGCTGTTTCGCGGCGGGGCGCCCAACGGCCGAAATTCAATTCTGCTTCGTTGTCAGGAACTGAAGTCATTCCTAAGAGCAACCATTGCTTGATTCAACATCACCCCACCACCACAGTATCTCCCTGCAGCAACCACCACAATGAGCTACATCCTCACCCTCTCCTGCCCCGACCGCCCGGGCATCGTCCACGCCGTGACCGCCTACCTGGTGCAACAAAACCTCAACATCATCGACAGCAGCCAATATGGCGACCCGACCAGCCAGCGCTTCTTCATGCGCGTGCACTTCAAGGATGAATCCTCCCCTGCCAAGTCCCTCGACGACCTGCGCGCCGCCTTCCAACCCACCGCCGAGTCCCTGACCATGACCTTCCAGCTCGTCCCCGCCTCCTCCAAGCCCCGCGTGCTGATCATGGTCTCCAAGATCGGCCACTGTCTCAACGACCTCCTCTTCCGCGCCTCGACCGGCCAGCTCCCCATCGAGATCCCTCTGATCGTCTCCAACCACCCCGATTTCGCTACCCTGGCTGCTACCTACAACATCCCCTTCTTGCACCTCCCCGTCACCGCCGACACCAAGCCCCAGCAGGAGGGACGCATTTTGGAGCTGATCCGCGAACACAACATCGATCTGGTTGTTCTGGCCCGTTACATGCAGGTTCTGTCGCCTATGCTGTGCGAGGCTATGTCCGGAAAGATCATCAACATCCACCACAGTTTCTTGCCCAGCTTCAAGGGTGCTAAGCCTTACCACCAGGCTTTCGACCGCGGTGTTAAGATTGTCGGTGCTACCGCGCACTTCGTCACTAGTGATTTGGATGAGGGTCCGATTATTGAGCAGAATGTTGTTCGTGTCAACCATGCTATGAGCCCCAAGGAGTTGACTCATGCTGGTTCCAACGTTGAGAGCAATGTCTTGGCTACGGCCGTGAAGTACTTCGCTGAGCGGAGAGTCCTGCTCAACGGACACAAGACTGTTGTTTTCAACTAGGTTATATTTTTGGCAGTATGGTGGTATATAGAGGATGGAAAATAATGTTGTTACTCTGACTGGACGGCGCTAGCGCTGGCCTGAATGTTACAAGCGAATTCCCTCGAAGGGATGGTAATCTTCTTCTCCGGCCCATTGTTCCTCGTGCAGAGATTCGCCCATTTGGGATTTGTCCATTCCTGCGATCACGTCCCTACCAAAGTTAGTTGCATTCATAAGCTGGGGGTGGTGCACGTACTCATCCGTCGCCAATACCTCGAAACCAGGCACACAGTCCACCAAGGCATACAGAATGTAGCTTCCCCCAAAGCTCCATACGAACCCGATCAGCGCTTCGACGATTTGTATTCCTAGCTGTCTCCAGTTGCCATCGAAGAAACACCCGCCGACGATGTCGGTGACGCCATCGTATGCTGCGACTTCTCGTTGTGCAAATAGGCCAGTTACAATCGTGCCCAAGAACCCACCCAGGCAGTGTGTAGCAAACGTGTCCCCGTTGTCGACCCAGCGCAGAAGTTTCGCTCGTTTGGTGAACTTGATTTTGAGTGCTTGATACCCGCATGCAGCACCTAGGACGCCAAACCCCATTGCCGTGCTCATATCGATGAAGCCTGCGCTCGGCGTGATTAGAACGAGTCCTGCGATCGCGCCTAAGAAAGTGCTGTCCAAGCTCCACTTTCCAGTCTCCCAGTAGGTCAGACTCGCCCAGGTGAGAGCGCCTGAGGAGGCGCAGAGATTCGTCACGCAGGCGGTCATGACACTCTTGAAGTTGAGAGCGAGCGTAGTTCCCGCGTCAAAGGCAAGCCACGCATTCCATATAATGATCAGTGCTAGCAGTTGGCACAAAGTGTTGTGTGGCCGATGCAATAACAGGTGCTGCGGGGTTCGAATTTGAGAGCGTCGCGACCGAAACAGGGGATAGGAGAGGTAGACGCTCATTGCTGTGGCGGTGGCACCGCTGCAAATATGCACGGGAGTGCCCCCGGCAAAGTCAAGAGCACCAAGGTTCGCGAGAAAGCCATTCTCCGACCAGACCATGTGGGCTAGAGGAGCATATATGAATGTGCACCAGAGCTAGAGAGATTAGCAAATGTCGAGGGACGTGGAGACTGCTCTTACAAAGATGAATGGAATCAATGGAAGAAGCCGTCCGCGCTCACAAGCTCCTCCGATTGCGATAGCGCACACGGTCGCGCAAAAGATGAGCTGGAACTCTGAGAAAAGAATCTCAGGAATCGAGCCAACTGGTTCAGCGAGGACGCCGATATGAAACACTTTGCTGAAGCCCCCAAAGAAGCCATTGCCTTCACCGTAGGCGAGCGAATATCCCAGCATCCACCATTGGATCGAGCAGACGGCGACCGCCAAAAGACCGGGATAGAACGAAGCAATGCTATTGAAACGAGTGGAGTAGCCAGAGTAAGCGAGCCCGACAGCCGGGATAATAAGCCAGCAGAAGACAGAGCAGACAAGGATGAATAGCGTATCGATTTTGTCGCAGGCTTCCCAAGCTGTTTGGACAGACATAGTGCCTGTTCAACTGGCGGTCCCTGGTGCTTGCTGTTGAGTAAACGAGAGGGGTATCTTAAATATCGCAACAGTCCATAGCTGCTAGGTACTGTAATTTTTATCGGGGTCTGATGCTGACACAATGAGAACGAATCAAGCCTGTAGAGCTTATCAGCTCAATAGTCATGGCGGATATTATTGGTCGGGATGCACTATCATGTCGATCGCCGAGCTCAGCTCCTGCAAGACGATGCTCGGATAGGGAAGTGCAACCAGCTGCAATTTCGATGCAGCACGGCGGGGTGAGACTAGTAGTTAGTCCGGCGGAGATGCAGGTCGACCTGAGGGATTTGATCACAGCGATATGTTTGTAGCAGAACAGTCATTGGTAGGATGTAGATTGCCTTTATGCAATCTTGTGAATAATGATTTGCAGGTCTCAGGGAGACGAGAGTGAGAACTTGTATCTAGCTGATGGGTGTTGGCGTCAGGCAGCCATACTCATTGCTTTTAGCCTTTGCACACATGCGTCTGGAGCTCATTGTGATGGATCATAGGAAACCCGCATCAAGCGACGCGCTCTTAAGCATGTTTTGGTCTGCAATTCCATGGAGCGATGCCGAGTTTGTCTGGTGCAGCACAATGCTTCGTTGGCCGTCATCACGCCTCCAAAGTAGCAGCAGTCGAGATTAGTATGTTGGGATCAGTCTCATCGTTAATGAGTGCTATCTAGCACTTAAATTCCATTAAGTAGCTGGAATTCACAATTGAACAGCATGGTGGTTCATGGAGTCCAAGATGAAGTCAAGAAGAAAAGAAGAGTGCGAACGAGAACCCCCACAATCGGAGTATCTATCCCAATGGAGCAACTCGGGATACGATCCGGGGTAAACCGGGACCCTCACCAGCCACATTTGTAACCGTGCCACAATCCCTCAGCCACACCCGTGACCAACCAACTGATACGTGGCCAGGACCTCGGAGAGTAGATAATCCGCCCCTTTCGAGTCCGACCGAGCGACGCCATTATTCGCCGACCACCAAAAGAGCACAGCTGGCCCATTCGCGTCCATCATCCATCCCCATTCCACCTCGCCTCCATTGACACCTCAGCATCCATTCCTTCGCTTCGTCAAAATGTCCGACCAGGTGCAAGAGCTTCTCAACGTCCCTCGGGAGTTCCTTAGGGACGGCGTGCAGTTTGTCAACCGCAGCCAGAAGCGTGAGTTGTCCCGTTGCTTGTGCAGCACTCCTGGATTCAAGCTAATAAGTTTTGCTATATAGCCGACAAGCGCGAGTTCATCAAGATCAGCCAGGCTGTCGGTACTGGTTTCCTGATCATGGGATTCATCGGTTACATTGTCAAGCTGAGTATGCTGCCCCTGCCATTGGATTAAACCCCTGCTAGATCGGTAAACTGACTGAATCTAGTCCACATCCCCGTTAACAACGTCCTCGTCGGTGGCGCGTAAACGAACATTCCATCATCCATTCTATCCGGTGTCAAGCGAAGGAAGAATCATAAGGTCATCATGTCCCTTATTGGCGGATCGCGAGCTAGGGTGCGCATGCGGATGCGATCTTCAAACGAGCGTGTAACATTATACCCGCCTGATGGATGAGCAGATTGTGATGCAGTCTCGCTCGACGCGGAGTCCAGTCGTTGGAAACTGGCTTATGTGCATAATTAGTCTGGGCAGGCGTTTAGGGTGTGCTGTTAATATATCCATTGAACTATGGCAAGCTGCTATTAAAACACAGAATTTATAACCTATAATGAATGAAATACCCAGTATCTGTGTCCTCACTACCATTGACTCAGAATCAATAATCAGGCTGCCAAAGCATCAATCACATACTAGTAAATAATTCATGGCACGTCCAACTTCATCCCAATCCCCAGTCCCAAAATATATCCTACCCAATGATCAGCACTCAACTCAAACCAACTTAAACATGATGTCACCACTCCAGCCATCACCCTCTATACCTCTACAAACAACTACCACCATAAATAATTCATTTCCGATCTCCTTAGCACTAGACAACTTTCTACACTGCAGTACCACCACCATACTTCTCCGAGGCCCCCACACCCCGACTGCCGATATCCGTTCCCATTAGTATACTTCCCCACTGGTGTACTCCACGCACAACCACAACCACATATACATATAACAGTCCTACCCACCCCCATCTATACTTCCACCTCAGACATAAGCACCCTCAACTCTCTCCCTTCCAAACCAATCCACCCCCCAATTGACCTCCACCGAAAACAAAGAAAACGAACAAAATGGAACCAATCTCCCCACCCCCAACCCTAACCCACCTCTTCACCCTCCGGTGCGCCGTCGACCCACCCCTCGAAATCGGCATGGGGCCGTACGGCCGTCGACGCTGCGTGCCCATCAAGTCCGGCACCGTGAGGGGGAAGTATCTCGTGGGAGAGGTTGTTCCGGGAGGAGCGGATTTTATGTATGCCCATACCCATAGTACCTTGATGGGTGATTGATAACTTGAATTGAGATTGAAGACTAACCATGAGGGGTAGGCTAGTGGAAGAGAACCAGACGACGCATGTGAATACGAATTATGTGATTAAGAGTGAGGATGGGGCGTATATTTATGTTAGGTTGGTGTTCTCCACTATTATATCTAAATGAGGTTTCTAAATTGAAGCCATGAAGATGGTATGTGCTAATGTTGATGAATGTGTAGGACGGAAGGAACCCGGTCCGGTCCCCCCGAAGTGCTAAAGGCATTGATGGAAGGCGACGGTGTTGATCCGGCGAGTTACTGGTTCCATCTACATATTAAACTGGAGACAGGACATGAGAAGTACAGATGGATGACGAACCGGGTGATTGTGGGACGGGCGACGAGGGCAAAGGGGGAGGTTGCGTATGATGCGTATTTCTTGGAGAACTTGTCATAAATCCAGGACAATTATGGAATAATGTATATAATGGTTACATATTAAAGTATCTGGTGTACAAGGTATCATAAATATGGTATCACTGCAAACGGATCTGGTGGTTGCGCAGCAATTCCGCCAAATTCGCATACTCCCCTGCGCTCGCGTCCTGGCGAGCAAGTACCTCCTCTGCGAGTTGAAAGGCCCATAGGTGTTCTGAGTGGAATGATCGCAGCTCGTAGAGTCGCTCACGTAGCCACTCGCGTTGCGCTGGGTCGTCGGTTTCGACTATGGCCATTAGGAGTGGCCAGTGTAGTCGCCGTAATAGACGCGGGTCTGCGGCGTATTGTTTGTGGGCGTTGTCGATGATGTTGTTGAGGGCTTGGCGATGCAGTGCGGCTGGTGGGCGGGCTGTATCGAAGAGACGACGGTGGAAGAGGATCAGGGCGTAGAAGTTGTTCACGGCCATGTAGATGGTGTTGAGCGTGCGGCGGGTGGAGCCTGGGCTGGCGAGTTTGGCGGTCAAAAGAAGGTCGGAATATTTCTGTACTGGTTAGCATGAATAATACGATAATACCAGAGGTTGGCATACATCTCGAACCGTCATCATTTCGGCGAAGAGTGCGTCGCCAGACTCGGTGTGTTTCTCGTCCAAGCATTTCCAGAGCTTATGCCATAACGTGTATCCGACGTGTACAAACTCCAGCCCCCGGTAGTTCTCCATGTCGTCTGATACCTCCTGATCCGGGTATTGCTTTCCCCAGAAACATCGACTCCAGAGCCGTGCGCAGCGATACAGATGGTCTGGGTGAAGGGATTCATTGCCGGAGTTGAGCACGTAGTCGTAGAGCGACTCTGTAGTTCCGATCGACCGACGATTGACATCGATGTATCTGATCGATTAGCGACGCCTAGCACAGCAGAAATCATACTTACAGTATCCATAGTAAGAACTGGTCCGAGATGAACGAAGCCCGAGAGACCGTATCACTGGGCTGGTCCGCCTCCATTGCCAACAACACCTCGTTGACGTCGCGCACATGGAACAATTCCGGATGGGTCTCCAGCAGAGACCGCACTCCCTGCAGATGGAGGTGAAGATGACGCACGCAATGACCAAACTGCCATTCGTACGCGACCATGAGGAACATGGTTGCGAAGATCATCTCAAGCTCCGCAAACGACACCTGAGGTTTAGGGGTTTCCAGTAATTGGCGGAACTCCTTGACGGCCATGCCGTAGTGGTATCGGCCATGATCCTCAGCGGTCGGACGACCTGGTGACCGGACTACCAGGCCATTTCGATGCATATCACTTGCCGATAAAGCCAAGATCATGCGCATGATGACCTTGCTGGTAGCCGCGGGCCCCTCATACAGATAGCGGAAGCTGCTCCATTGCCAATTCTTCATGTAATAGAACACCACGGACGAGGAAGGGAAGTACTGGAAGTATTTCTGATCATGCTCCGACAAGACGAGCGAATTGGTGCAGGGCAAAGCACCTGTTCCGGGCAGGGGCCGGTAAAGTGGCGATGGTTGCGCATAGGGCGGAAACGGCCATCCCGTGGGGAAACTGACATCTGGGGAAACCGGGGTCAAATCCGGGGCTGGTCCGGGGGACTGCCGATGCCAGAGGGCAGCTAGAGTGTTGGCATAATGAGGATGAAGAATGCTGTTGGTCACGGCAGCACGAACAGGAGAGGGAGTGGTCGCAGATGGGGAGGAGCAAGTGGTGATGCCATCGCTGGTCGGCCAACGAGGTTGCGCGGGCTGCAGATGCCGAACCGGGGCATTGGCCTTGCCGCGCTTAACGGGGATCCCCCATTCACAGTTCAGTCGTAGATTGAAGCAGCGTTTGCAGACTGGACGCTCCTCCCCGCATTTTACTTTACGACGGCGGCAGGTGCTGCAGCCTGTAAGATGCGAGTCAGTCAGTCAGTCAACCATTGTCCGTCCACTGGGATCTTTTTTTTCCCGAGCTTTCCGCCGACTCCGGGGAACTCGGACAAGGGTTGGCATACCATTCTTCGAGCGAGGCGCGTTCCGACCCGACATGGAATGAATGGCCCACTCGTGAAGGAGTCGGATCAGCCGGCAGG